CTGCTGGTGGACTAACCGGAGAGAATTACAGTGCTTGCCTCGACGGGGAGGGATTGCATTGCAGCGGGAGCAAACGCTTGCCTCGGGGAGGAAGAAAGAAAGCCACAGCGGAGAATAAACAGAAGGGTAACCATGGTAACCAAGTCTTCTTCGCTGCTTTTGTGGCAGACTACAGCGCCACTTACAGGCCTGGCATATGTACTACAGCGTCTCCAGCGCTTTCGAACGGCAATGGCCGTGGCTGTCTCCTCCTGATTGGTGGAGTTGGCCCAATAGCCGTAGCGCCACCGTCCTGACGTCAGGACAGTGTTCAAATCTGGATCAGTTTTTATCAGATCCGTTGCAGCCCCTTTTTTAGAGATTTGGGTATGGAGGAAAATAGAGAGGGTTGTGTTTTCTGACACTTGGTGAGTTCCCTGGAACACCGGGGACACATATTCATGTATAAAAGACGTACAAAAGTGCATTTTGCATGATAGGTCCCCTTTAAGTTTATCAAATAGGTTGTACTATGCCTCTGTTTTGTAAAGGCAGCCTTTGGGCACCGGGGGATGGGAGACCTGCTCATTATAAATCTGGGAAACAGGTGGTAGTGTGGAGCGCACCCGGTAGGCCTATGGTTTTTTACCATCGGGTAAGAACGAAGAAAAGTGCTTGTATATGTGTATAATAAATTGCACTAAAACGACTTTTGCTCGGACCTAGACTTTTATCCATGCGGATGGGTGCCTCAGCGGCACTTTGCTTTGAGTTATATTTCTTTCTTATATTTTTATGATTTTGGCCACTTTACTGTGTGTTTGAAATGTACAAGGTCACATCTCCACGATGCCCTGGGCTACATACATGTGACGATGGATCATTCATCCGGCCTGCTTTATCTCTCGCTGCAGTGATTTTCATGCCAATCCGAGCAACACTTTAGCATTTATCTGAAAGATCTTGTTTGTTTCAAAAGAGCGGGAAAATGTGAAATTGTCCAAATGTCTCCAGAACCTGCGGTTAAGTATCTGAAGTGTACAGTACTCAGGTATGCAAAGTGGACAGGTTAGCGAGAAAGGGTTTTTTTGAGCCTCAGAGACCAAGTTCCTGTACACTTCGCATACATTGACTGCACGACTTCAGGCATGCGATGTGGACAGTACACCTCAAATACATCACTACACGACCTGTGGTATTTGAAATGTACAAGGATGCGAAGGGCTACATGAACGTCACTTTGAATTAGTAATCTGTGAGGCCACTGTTCTCAGTATACCAACTCTCATGCAAATCGGAGCAACTTTATTTTTGACCTTTTTTTATTTTTAACCTGTTTTTCAGTCAGTGATGAACTGGAGGGGGCCTGGGAGTATGCTTATCCGGTCTACATGTGTTTTGTAGACTTGGAGAAGGCTTATGACCGAGTTCCCAGGGAGTTACTGTGGGAGGTGCTGCAGGAGTATGGGGTGAGGGGGTCTCTACTCAGGGCCATCCAATCTCTGTACTCCCAAAGCGAGAGCTGTGTCAGGGTCCTCTGCAGCAAGTCGGACCCATTTCCGGTGAGGGTTGGCCTCCGCCAAGGCTGCGCTTTGTCACCAATCCTGTTTGTAATATACATGGATAGGATTTCGAGGCGTAGTCGTGGGGGAGGGGGTCTGCAGTTCGGTGGACTAAGGATTGCACCACTGCTTTTTGCAGATGATGTGGTTCTAATGGCTTCATTGGTCTGCGACCTTCAGAACTCACTGGATCGGATCACAACCGAGTGTGAAGCGGCTGGGATGAGGATCAGCACCTCCAAATCTGAGGCCATGGTTCTCAGCAGGAAACCGATGGACTGTCCACTCCAAGTAGGGAATGAGTCCTTACCCCAAGTGAAGGAGTTCAAGTATCTCGGGGTCTTGTTCTCGAGTGAGGGAACAATGGAGCGTGAGATGGGCCGGAGAATCGGAGCAGCGGGAGCGGTACTGCAGTCGCTTTACCGCACCGTTGTGACGAAAAGAGAGCTGAGCCAGAAGGCAAAGCTCTCTGTCTACCGGGCCATTTTCGTTTCTACCCTCACCTATGGTCCTGAAGGATGGGTCATGACCGAAATAACGAGATTGTGGATACAAGCGGCCGAGATGGGTTTTCTCCGCAGGGTGGCTGGCGACTCCCTTAGGGATAAGGTGAGAAGTTCAGTCATCCGGGAGGGACTCGGAGTTGAACCGCTCCTCCTTCACGGCGAAAGGAGCTAGTTGAGGTGGTTCGGGCACCTAGTAAGGATGCCACCTGGGCGCCTCCCTAGGGAGGTGTTCCAGGCACGTCCAGCTGGGAAGAGATCAAGGGGTAGACCTAGGACCAGGTGGAGGGATTATATCTCTTCGCTGGCCTGGGAGCACCTTGGGATCTCCCAGTCAGAGCTGGTTGATGTGGCCAGGGAAAAGAAAGTTTTAGGCATCTCAGGGTCTGCCCTCCAGTGGTTTGCCTCGTACCTCAGTGGGAGAAGTTTCTCCGTGGCGGTGGGCCAGTTCTCATCACACAGCACTCCCCTATCCTGCGGTGTGCCCCAGGGTTCTGTTTTAGCCCCTCTTCTTTTTGCCCTTTACATGCTCCCATTAGGCCCCTTAATTAGCCAATTCAAGGGTGTCTCGTATCACTGTTACGCAGATGATATCCAGATATATTTCTCTTTCAAACCCGTCAAAACCCTGATTACATGTCTGTCTGCAATTGAGGAGTGGATGTCAAGCAACTTCCTACAGCTCAATGCATCAAAAACGGAAGTCTTGATCTCAGCGGCTGATAACATCGCCTCTAAGGTAGCAAGCCACCTGGGTTCATTTAGTGGTAACGTTAGGGCAAACATAAAAAACCTTGGTTTAACCTTCGATCAGTCTATGCTACTAGACAAACACATCAAACTCCTGACCCGTACCTGTTTGTTCCACCTCAGGAACATTGCCAAGCTCAGGGGCTTTCTATCCAATGCAGAACTGGAGATGGCTATCCATGCCTTTATTTCATCCCGGCTTGATTAATGTAATGCTCTGTTCTCCTGCCTCAACAAAACATCAATAAACCGGCTACAACAGGTCCAAAATGCTGCAGCCAGGTTACTCACTCGGTCCAAAAAAAACATGCCACATCACTCCGATCCTTTCTGCCCTGCACTGGCTCCCTGTCCATCTCAGAACCCAATATATTGGTTTACACATATAGAGCTGTCCATGGCCAAGCCCCCGCCTAAATTAACGACCTTATCCACCCTCACAGCACAACCTGGGCCCTGAGGTCCTCCGAGCAAGGCCAAAAACGAAGGGGGACCGTGCCTTTGAGGCAGTGGCCCCTATGGAATGAACTCCCCCAGAAACTGAGAGCCTCTGTCTCTGTGGAGGTTTTTAACCTGTTAAGCACCAAGCCTGTTTTTCATGTTTCAGGCTAGAAAATGACATGCCCAAAACAAATGACTACAACTTAACTTCTAAAAGGGTTATATGAATAATTTATTTTATCAAAGCAAGGTTACATCTGTGAGTTGGATGTAGAAGTGTCAGAATCAATATAGATGTTTTTTATTTTAAAGAAAATTCTGATTTTACATAGTAAAAAACTGTTAATTATAGTGTCCGTCCAAAAATTCTTTGGTATAGTGAAAACTACCCTTGGATGATGGGTTAGTAGACTAAAAGCTTTAGGAATCCAAAGTACAACATATAATAAGTACCCTGTATCAAGATTGATGCAAAACAAGTGACATTAGACCTTTTTAGAGAGGTTTAGCCAAAACCACCCCACCTCTGAGGTGATTTGGGTGAAAATTGTTTTTTTTCCATATCTCTGGCCCCCCTTGGTCGATTTTGATGGTTGACACCTCTTTCTGACCGTTAGAGCCAATCGAATCGAAGGGGGAGTCCCCCACACACACTCGTTGTGAAGAGAAGAGGTGGGGGCTTCGCGCATGTAATTTTGCAGCAGAGTGGACCGATCTCTCGCTCTGACATTTGGAAACGAAAAAGCAGTTTTATTGCTTATGGATTATCAGAAATAATTTCAAAGAAGGCACAGATACATAGGATTAACCTATGGATTAACTGCAGCATCGTTTTTTTATCGTTTTAATGCCATTGAAGACCAGTTCTGACCAAGGTAAGCCATGTTAGCGTTTCTAGCTACCTAGCTCCACATGTTATGATGTACACTTTCGTTTATAGCGTCGCAAATGTTTATCACTGAGTGTTGAGGTGGGCACCGCCAGATTCTGTGTCTCCAGGAGATGCTAATCGATGGGTTGGCTGTGCATCTAGGATAAGTAATAAGGGAGTTATGAGTGAGTTTAGGTGCACTTATGTTACATGTTTTCGCTCGTGGCTAATTCAGAGGCTCAGTGTTAGCATTGTGGGTTTTTCTTGGGAAAAAAAATTAAAAAGATCAGTTAGCTGAGTTTCTTCCCGTTACATGGATATAAAACATTCATAGTTTATTAAATATTAAGATTCCTTAGACGTTGTTTACTGCAAATGACGCGTTTATCCGCCCGGTACCGGGGGGGCAGTGGGTAACAGGTTAAGGGGCAGCTAAAGACTCACCTTTTCCGACAGGCTTTTGGGGCGTCGGCGGACGAGGTGAGTTTGTAGCTGTTTCTCAATGGTCTTTTATCCTATCTTTTACTGGATGTGTTTTATGCCTTTTATTACAAACTAAAACATTGTTCCCAATGTTTAAAATCTTTCATACCAGTCCCATGTTTATATATTATTATTATTGTTATAAGTATTATTATTATTAATAATAATGTAATTATTCATTATTTTAATACTGTTCGTTTTTTCACCACAGGGGGCAGTGAAATTATGTTTAAAAGAAAAACTACAATCCCATGATGCATTGCGGCAGTCCGTTTCTAGCTTCCGGTCCTCAGAAGCTGCACGTTGCTAACAGACGTTGATGCAGATTTTATACCGAATGTAATGTGTTTAAGAGACTTTTAAAACACATACAAAGAGTTAGTTTATCCTTGGAAAACATACCAATAGAAGTTTAAAGTCACAACATTTTATTAACCAAACAGATTATTGGAGAAACTACTCGGCAGATTAATGAACAGTGAAACTAAATTCCTTCAATGCAGCTTAACGAGGCTAGCAGTTGAGATATAATATTTAAAAAAAGGAATAACAAGGCTATTAGAAAACCATGGTTGAAACACAGCATAGTAAAACATTTCTTCATAGATCAGGAACCATTACAAACATCAACTAAATTGGAGAAACAGCATCTCTGTGGCCTTGTGTTGGCATAGTGTGAACGCTGGTTAGAACATAAAAAACTGTTGTAATAATAAAGCTTTATTTATACAGCACTTTTCATACAGCACTTTTCATACAGCACGTGCAGCTCAAAGTGTTTTACAAAATGGCGACACATCACAAGTTAAAAATAAACAACAAGAAAGTCCCCTCAGACGTTAAGACCTTTACAGATACATGCAGCAAAATATAACATTTTAACAGGTTAAGATACACAAGGAGGTAAAAGGTATGACAATAACAAATGAAATACAGTACAAAAAAATATAATTTATCTCGGAAAGATAAGACACAAGACAGGTGAATAGATTCAACAATATAAAACCCTATAAAGTAAAGTGAACATATAGGTACAAAATTAAATGAATAGTAATAAAAACATCATAATTCTAATAAAAATATAAAGAAACCAAGAAACTGTTAAATAACTAATATAAGATAAAACCCTTCCTATATCATAAATGAAACAATATAAAAGTAGGTAAATAATAAAGACTAAAACACCATTTAAAGTGGGGGGTTGCTAATAAAAAGCTAATCTAAAGAGATGTGTCTTTAGCTGGCATTTAAAAATGTCCACTGAGCCTCTCTGATATTTCCTGGTGTTCCACAGTTTGGGAGCGTAGTGGAGAAAAGCCTCACCCATTTTATTTAGGGGGATTTTAGGGATATTTAAAAAGCTGAGGAGGACCTCAGGGCTTGTCCAGGGACATCAAACAAGACTGACTCTGAATTGAAGTCTGTTAGTCAGACTTCAATTCAGAACGCCTCTTAAAATATAACTACAGCTCTCAGGACATCAGGAGGAGGAAACAGCTAGCTTGGCTCTCATAGTTGTTCAAAACTATGCAGAATGGATTCGGTGAATACTTTGAGAAAACGTTTTCCCACACTCTTAAAACCACTATGGTTTTTCTCCAGTGTGAACATGTTTATGTCTTTGGAGATTACTTGATGTAGTGAACGTTTTCCCACACTCTTCACACCAGTACGGTTTTTCTCCAGTGTGAATACGTTGATGTTTTTGGAGTTCACTTGATGTAGTGAATGTTTTCCCACACTCTTCACACCAGTACGGTTTTTCTCCAGTGTGAATACGTTGATGTTTTTGGAGATGACTTGATGAAGTGAACGTTTTCCCACACTCTTCACACCAGTACGGTTTTTCTCCAGTGTGAATACGTTGATGTTTTTGGAGATCACTTGATGTCGTGAATGTTTTCCCACACTCTTCACAGCTGTATGGTTTTTCTCCAGTGTGAATACGTTGATGTGATTGGAGAGCATCTGATCTATTGAACGTTTTCCCACACTCTTCACACCAGTACGGTTTTTCTCCAGTGTGAATACGGTGATGTGAATTTAGAGTACCTGATGTAGTGAATGTTTTCCCACACTCTTTACAGCTGTACGGTTGTTCTCCAGTGTGAATACGGTGATGTGATTTGAGAGCATGTGATTGAGTGAACGTTTTCCCACACTCTTCACAGCTGTATGGTTTTTCTCCAGTATGAATACGGTGATGTGTTTTGAGATGATGTGATTGAGTGAACGTTTGTCCACACTCTTTACAGCTGTACGGTTTTTCTCCAGTGTGAATACGTTGATGTGTTTTGAGATGATGTGATTGAGTGAACGTTTTCCCACACTCTTCACAGCTGTATGGTTTCTCTCCAGTGTGAATACACAGGTGGCTCTTTAAATCTTTAGATGATGTAAAGGATGTGTCACATTGCTGACAGCTGTGACGTCTCTCTCTTCCTTTCGGTTTCTAAAACAGACGGACAGAGAATAAGAGAAAGTAAATCTAAAAAGCATAAATACATATACAGTTAACACAATAAAAACTTGCTTAATATAAACCTTGAGTTAAAGGTGGGGTAGGTAAGTTTGAGAAACCGGCTCGAGTGCGCTAGAATTCGAAAATACACAACCGGAGAAAATCTGCCACTTCCTCACAGAGCCCCTCCTCCAACACACACGAACGCGCACATGACCAATGAGGGCACGAGATAAGTTTGTGCACAGATGGAAGGCTGACAGGCAGGTAGGCCATCCAGTTATTTTAGCCGGGCCGGCGCAGATGATTGGTCGTGCTTTTTACAGTACTACGGCTTCCACAGATGATATTTTTTTATGGATTTTTTGTCAAAGCACTTCAGATATTCATTGCTATCGGGATGTTAAGAGCATTCCTTGGAATATAACAAAAAGTGTATCTCGAGCCGGTTTCTCAAACTTACATACCCCACCTTTAACAAAATACTTATTTTACTAATATAACTGTGTTTAATATATTTGTATTATATTTGATGCAGTAATACAGCAACATTCTAACCAAAGTAAACACAGCAACGTTCTTTATTGGGAATGAGAGGTCTGTAAATATTTTAACTAAATAAACTACCCAGTAATAAAACTAAATAGCCCTTATTTGAATCATTAGGTTTTAAAAGTTGTAAAATGCGCTAAAAGCTGAATCCAGATGTATTTTCTCTCTCCTTTCATTCTACTGAGCTGAGTGAGGGAGATTGGAGGCGGGGCTTAATGGAAAACTCAACTGGCATGCTCTATGCCAGGGGTCTGCAACAGGCGGACCGCGGTCCGGATCCGGACCCAGACCTATACGGACCCGGACCTATAATCAATACATTAATAGGGGATCTCAATTTTGACGGGGCGATTCTATTTGAACCGCCGCCGACAGGGGGCGAAAGAGACGAGTGAGCGATACAGGGAGAGAAACACAGAAGAAGAGATGAGAGCGCGGCAGAGAGAAGCGGAGAGGAGAGTGAACAGGCGTGTTAGCGGCAGACAGGGAGAGACACATAATTACACATGGCGCTCTCCAAGAAGAGGAAAGTGGACAGTGAGAACAGAGCTTGTAACCCTGAGTGGACGGACTCATTCATGTTCATCCTGCCCACTGGGAGCACAGAACCAGTGTGTCTCATTTGTTCAGAGACCGTGGCGCTCATTAAAAGTGCCAAAACGCCACTATGAGACAAAACACAAAGTGTTTGACCAAACATTCCCTCTCAAGTCAGAACGGAGGTCACAAAAAATAAGCAGTCTCAGAGCCCAATATGACCAGTCGACCAGGATCAAAATTAAAACTAAATATCGCTCCAGGGCAGGCTAACCGAGCCTAACCAATGAGCACCTGCATGTGTATGAGAATTTTAGTTGAATACCCCTGCTCTATGCTCTCGACAGCAAGGCATGATGGGTAATTTGTGACGTTTTGCTCTTGAGAATGTCAGGCCATTTTGACTTCATGCGCCAATGAGCGGCTCTCATAACAATGAACGAGGCCTTCGACCACAGTGATGCAGGAACATCTCAAACGTAAACCACCCGATCAAGATCCCTCCGCCTCGCGTCCGTCCCTCTGATCATACTGTCGGGGTTTCTTTTTCCAATAATGACCGGCTCGCTGCACATTATCCGGTATATTACACGGCCAAATGCTAAACAAACTGACGACTAACTTGACTTATTTTAACTTATTTAAACTATGCCAATTTATTGATTCAGCTATTTCAAAGAGTTTGCAAAAAATAGGTCGGGTTGAGACACTGTGCTGTATTTATGTGTGTGTGAGAAAGTGTAACTGCTGTATTTATGTGTGTGAGAGAAAGTGTAACGGCTGTATTTATGTGTGTGAGAAAGTGTAACTGCTGTATTTATGTGTGTGTGAGAAAGTGTAACTGCTGTATTTATGTGTGTGTGAGAAAGTGTAACGGCTGTATTTATGTGTGTGAGAGAAAGTGTAACTGCTGTATTTATGTGTGTGAGAGAAAGTGTAACTGCTGTATTTATGTGTGTGTGAGAAAGTGTAACTGCTGTATTTATGTGTGTGAGAGAAAGTGTAACGGCTGTATTTATGTGTGTGAGAAAGTGTAACTGCTGTATTTATGTGTGTGTGAGAAAGTGTAACTGCTGTATTTATGTGTGTGAGAGTGTAACTGCTGTATTTATGTGTGTGTGAGAAAGTGTAACTGCTGTATTTATGTGTGTGAGAAAGTGTAACGGCTGTATTTATGTGTGTGTGAGAAAGTGTAACTGCTGTATTTATGTGTGTGAGAAAGTTTAACGGCTGTATTTATGTGTGTGTGAGAAAGTGTAACTGCTGTATTTATGTGTGTGTGAGAAAGTGTAACTGCTGTATTTATGTGTGTGTGAGAAAGTTTAACGGCTGTATTTATGTGTGTGTGAGAAAGTGTAACTGCTGTATTTATGTGTGTGAGAAAGTGTAACTGCTGTATTTATGTGTGTGTGAGAAAGTGTAACAGAATAACAAGGCTATTATCACGATACGATGCTGTATCGATTATTTCCCCCACCCCTGTAATGTAGACATACATACAGTATATGTCACATTTGGGTTAATAATGTTTCTGTAGAGTGTTGTTTATTATATTAGCAAAGGCACTAACAGTAGTTTTGACTTTGGAGTTAGCTAGGAGTTATGTTATGTGTCTCTGTAATAATCAACACAACTACAGCTGACACAAAACCGGACAACTCAATACAACCGACAGACACAACAAAACAAATCTACTTCGTAGGTTCGTAACAGAGGAGAGAAGTACATTTACTCAAGAACTGTACTTAAGTACCATTTAGAGGTACTTTTACTTTACTTGAGTATTTCCATTTAATGCTACTCTGGGCGTTTCTGAATCTCGAGTACGCTTGCTTGGTAGCACATGACTTGCGAGCGTCTTGCTTCAGAAGCGAGGCAAGAATACTTCCTGGCATTCGGAAAACAAAGAGTGGCACAGGTGAGCACGTGTGCAGGTGTGCATCACGTGAGAAGCCCCGCCTTACATTTTCCGCCACAGATTTGGGGAAATTGGTCCGTGCGCAAAGCATTGTGGGGATTTTAAGACCGTGGAGTCTACTCATGTGCAGCCTCGAAATTTCTCCAAACGAAGTACGCCGGGCTCGCTAGAATTCCAAGTATGCTGGACATTGGAAAAGTACTTCGGTGGCACTTGGTGACGTAGTATGCTTGAAATAGTGGCTCTGGAGCAACTTTACTCGCGATTGAGAAACACCCTCTGTAACACACACACACACACACACACACCTTCTCTCAACATCTTCAAATCAACCCTGATCAGTCCTTATGTTTCTTTGTAAAGCGACCTTGACGTTATGAAAGGCGCTATATAAATTCAAGTTATTATTATTTACAAACAGTGAGCAGCTGTAGCATATGTCTTGCAGGACATGAGTGGGACACAGACTGTGTGGTTGGACTCTGTCTCCCAGGCAGGTTGCAGTATTCAATAACAGCAACAAAATTAAACAGTATGAAGTGATTTGTAAATAGGAATACAGATTTTACTTAAATATATTTTTCTCCCAGTGAAATTGGCATGGGACTTATTTTTATCCTCTCAAAGAACCGGAATCGAGAACCGAAAAGAACCGGAATCGAAAAGCAGAATCGTTAAAATCCAAACGATATCCAACCCTAGTTAACACAATAAAAACTCACTTAATACAAACCTTCAGTTAATAAAATACTACTTTTACAGTTTGTGTTTATTATATTTGTATTATATTTGATACAGTAATACAGCAACATTCTAACCACAGTATAAACCAGAGGTGGGGGATTCGAGTCACATGACTTGACTTGAGTCACATGACTTGGTAGATAGAATCGGAGGGATGAAACCCCTCTTTAATGGTCACACATGCAGAGCACACAGCACACACAGTGAAATTTGGCCTCTGCATTTAACCCATCCTAGTACCAGGAGTCTAGTACTAGGAGCAGTGGGCAGCTATTGTACAGCGCCCGGGGAGCAATTGGAGTGGGGGGGGAAGGGGGTTGTCCGGTGCCTTGCTCAAGGGCACCACGGCATGGCCCAGGAGGTGAACTGGGACCTCTCCAAGTAGCAGTCCACACTCCATATTTAGGTCTATTCGGGGACTTGAACCGACGACCCTACGGCTCACAGTCCAAGCCCCTACTGACTGAGCCACTGCCGGACATCGGTATTCACGACTTGAGACTTGACTTAGGCTTGAGACAGATGACTCTAAAGGACTTTACTTTTTAAAATAAAATATTTGCATTTGCATTGTACGAAGCCCCTAAAGGGCAATGAAAGAAAGGAGTGAGAGACTGGGGGTGTTTCTCAATCGCGAGTAAAGCTGCTTCAGAGCCATTATTTCAAGCATACTACGTCATCGAGTGCCGCCAAAGTACTGTTCCAATCTCCAGCATACTTAGAAATCTACCGAGCCCGGCGTACTCCGTTTGGAGAAATATCGAGGCTGCACATGAGTAGACTCCGCGGTCTTAAAATCCCCACAATGCTTTGCGCACGGACCAATTTCCCCAAATCTGTGGCGGAAGATGTAAGGCGGGGCCTCTCATATGACGCACACCTGCACACTTGCTAGCCTGTTCCACTCTTTGTTTTCCGAATGCCAGGAAGTATTCTTGACTCGCTTCTGAAGCTAGATGCTCGGCAGACATGTGCTACCAAGCAAGCGTACTCGCGATTGAGAAACACCCAGTAACTCGTTCGCAGGAGAAAGTTACCGGTGCGCCAAGTAGGAAGTGGAGCGCACAGGAGAAGGACGTTTCATTGCAGACTGTTATGTTTATGTGGGGAAATGGCAGTGCATACATTACTTTAGATATATTTAGAACTCTGACTTCTTTTTAGGGACATTTGGCTCTCGCTCTCATTCCTCTGGGCACACTCTCCGTGCCAGCCTCGGGGGACCTGTTGCTGGCTTCTCTCATTTATTTGTTTAAATTATTGTTATATTGTCGCACCTCGTCTCGGCTCTCCGGTTTTTGTTATAGCCCCAGAGCCGGGCAGTACCTCCTTCACTTCATGAAATCTCTGCAGCACCAGGAGGCAGTAACGTGTAACTCAGCAGAATCTGAGAAGAGCAGCACCAGCTGCAAAGAGCTGTGCCTTTTACGGTTTACTTCACTGTGTTTACCTTCATTAGAACAGCTAAAGAGCGACCGCAGGCTGCTACGTTTTAACCACACGCACCTCTACACATACACACATTGAACACAATTATTCCCCTATTATTACTTTTATGAAGGAGATGTCCGGTCACCATGATGTGTGTGTGTTAGTGCCCTGGGGCCTCATTTATAAACTACCATTTTCTAAGCAATCTTTGCGATTTATGAAAAACTTGACGGGATGACACTCTGACCCATGGGTACGCACAACAACGGGAGAGACGAGAAACTACGACACCATTGGCAGAAGGAAGAATGGAGAGAAATATGTGAAATTACCATAAATAAAATATTACCATGTATCATATAGGAAGAATTCATTTGCAAAAATTGATTAAAGCCAATCTTAAAATGATTAAACAATTCATATTGTATTTTCTAAACAGGTTGTGATCTTTCATTTGGGGATAACAGTGTTAGGAATATATTGTGATGAAGTGCACACTGACCTGAGCTCCAGGGGTCTCTTTGTTCTCCTCCATGCTGCTCTCAGCGCTCCTTCTGTGTCTCTGTAATAATCAACACAACTACAGCTGACACAAAACAAGATAACTCAATACAACCAACAGACACAACAAAAGTACATTGGACTCAATAAACATACAGAGTTATGGACATAAATGTGTCAGTATAGACGGGATAATGTACATATTAATAATATTTAATTAGTTAAATGTACAATGAGCTAAAAACAGCAGAATCACTGCTGTTAGCAGGGTCTCAGAGACCCATAGACCCAGGGTACAGCACCTCGCTGTCTTACCCAGAAAACAGGGCTCTGATCAGGGCTAAAGTAATGTTATAAACTGGTGAATCTGTTTAAATGCAGGAGACCTCCAGCATGAGTCCCTAACAGTGGCACTCCTCCATAACCTTGCACACCATGAGTCCCCGGGCCCCCGCAGTTAAGCACTCCCCCACGGACTAAACCCAGATATTCACACCCTCCAGAATCTCGTGCCCCTGGTAAGACTAACAAGGGGTGGATTTTGTGGTGGTCTACCGTCCGCCCTTAAGCATCCAACTGCGGACTAAACCCAGATATTCACACCCTCCAGAACCTCGTGCCCCTGGTAAGACTAACAAGGGGTGGATTTTGTGGTGGTCGACCGTCCGCCCTTAAGCATCCAACTGCGGACTAAACCCAGATATTCACACCCTCCAGAACCTCGTGCCCCTGGTAAGACTAACAAGGGGTGGATTTTGTGGTGGTCTACCGTCCGCCCTTAAGCATCCAACTGCGGACTAAACCCAGATATTCACACCCTCCAGAACCTCGTGCCCCTGGTAAGACTAACAAGGGGTGGATTTTGTGGTGGTCGACCGTCCGCCCTTAAGCATCCAACTGCGGACTCCTGACACTCAGACACTTTTCATATTTTTAGGTTACATGGGGCACGCTTGTCTGGCAGTTATGCACATGGGGTTTTGTCCAAGGCAGTGTGCTTAAGTCAGGGGGCCCGGGGACTCAAGGTGCGCATGGCAGGCCGTCTATGAGCGGCCAAAATGTTTTAATTAACTCATTATTGTCGTTTTTAGACAGTGTACATTGGACGACATAAACATACGGAGTTATGGACATAAACGTGTCAGTATAGACAGAACAATGTACATATTAATCATATTTAATTTATTAAATGTACAATAAACTAAAAACAGCAGAATCACTGCTTTAAGCAGCATATCACACTTCCAGGCAGACATACACACACCCAGGGGGGGAAGAGAACACATTGACCCAGGAATAAGTGCTCAAAACGTGGGTAAAAGTGTGTTAAAAAGTCGGGGAACATGTTTCAAATGACAGCAGACTGCTGCTTGTTTGCAGGCTGACTCTGTTCACTTGTCTCACACACACCCAGGGGGGGAAAGAGAACACATTGACCCATGAATAAGTGTCTGAATCATGGGCACATTAGTGTTTAAAGTCGGGGGACCTGTTTTAATTCAAGAGGAGAGTGTATTTCAAGTGTTACCCGGTCAGCAGCGCTGCAAACATGGCTACACGAGTGTTAAAATCAGGTCAAACTGTTTTAATTCAGTCATAATTGTCATTTTTAGACGGTGTACATTGGAGTCAACAAACAGACAGAGATATGGACATAAACCTGTCAGTATAGACACAACAATGTACATATTAATCATATTTAATTTATTAAATGTACAATAAACTAAAAACAGCAGAATCACTGCTTTAACCTGTTAAGCCCCAAGCCTGTTTTTCAGGTTTCAGGCTCGAAAATGACATGCCCAGAACAAATGACTTTAACTTCACTTCTAAAAGGGTTAAATTAATAATCTTTTTTCTCAAAGCAATGTTACATCTGTGAGTTGGATGTAGAAGTGTCAGAATCAATATAGATGTTTCTGTGTCAGAGAAAATTCAGATGGAACATAGCAGAGGTGTGGACTCGAGTCACATGACTTGGACTCGAGTCAGAATCGAGTCACCAATTTGATGACTTTGGACTCGACTTGACAAAATCACAAAACACTTGTGACTCGACTTGGACTTGAACACCAATGTCTCGGGACTTGACTTGGACTTGAGCCTTCTGACTTGAGGTGACTTGATACTTTAATTTATTCAAAAAAAGTTCCTCGCAATATATTTACTGAAGCAACAAACCAAAACGTTGAATCTCGGCAAGTTCCCCATGATATAGCTATTAACCAATCAGGTTGCAGGAGAGAGTCGTGACCATGACACGTGATGCTGCGTGACCCAGCACTATCGAAAAAATGATACCGAAGGTAGTCGCATTCGGCTACAAAAACTACGCAGTTTTAAACAAAAAGCGAACGGCACAATGCTTAACCTGTGCCGCACACATCACAGATGGAGACGCAACAACCTCGAACTTTGTTCGCCATCTGAAACTGCATAAAGAACGGTAAGTCAAGTCTACTATTAGCTGTTTGTTCATCTCATGCAAACGTTAGCTTAAAAGCTAAATATCTGTTGTCTATCCAGCTAAATAGATGCGGGTTCTATGAACAGTCTATGGTTAAAAATATACGGTTGCATTGAATACACAATGTAATATGTTAGCATTACAGGGGCCAAGCCGCTAGGATAACGTTATGTTGCCGTTCTCCAGAGACAAGTAATGAATATCCCGCGTATGCGATCCAGTTGTTGTGATTTGATTATGTGCACTGGGAACGGTCTAGCAGGTAGTCATCATTGTGTCTATAAATATAGCCTTTATATTTACAAAAAACGACCAGAAAGGTATCTAGTTCCCTCTATATTTTCACTGACAGTAGTGTTGCACTCAGAAATTCGGTTCTCTTTCTTCACTCGTCAGCACTTTAACCCCACAACGAGTAAACTTTGAACATACACTTATTCTTTGCTGCGTCATACAATACTGCCATAAACTCCTTACTTATTTTAATCCACCGAAGAAGCCACGTTCTTCTTCTACTTCTTCTTCTCTTGTCTACTCATAGGCGCCACATTGTGGTGAAAACTAGCAACAACAACAATATTAATACTGCTTCGAAGCACACAATATGGAGATGTGAATGACATTAGAAAATGATTAGGTACAATATTAAATACAAATAAAAATAGATTGTGGGGTCCCTTATAACATACTGTACACAGTGGAAATAAACATTCTTAAGATTAACGTTGCATTAACTTAACATCAGGGATCTTATTAATAAATTCCTGCTGACAGTCACAGTAGCCTAACCTTACTGATCCCTCTTAAAATAAAATAAAAACACGTTACTTTACCAGCAGAGAGAAAATTGATTATTCAATTATTAATGTGACTATTAAAGAGCAGTTTGATCTGCAATTCGAGAAAAAACAACAATGCATTTACTAATTGTTGTTTTCTTCATATGTTTACCTTTTTACAGATATGAAGAATACCAGAGGAACAAAAGCATTACAGATGATGCACAACAACCTTCAGTATCACAGTTTTTTGGCAACCAAGATGGACAGTACAGCATGACTCATCCACAGCAGAAAGCTATCACCAATGCAATACTGTCCGACTTAGCTGTCGATTGCAGCTTGCCCCTGTCAATTATTGAAAATAAAAGTTTTCGCCACTTTCTGACAGTAATTGACAGAAAGTACAGGCCAGTTTGTCGCAGGACACTGACTGTGAAAGTAGAGAACCTTGCTGTGGAAAGACGTTTAAAATTAAAAACCCGGATGAGCAATATAAATCATGTCTCAGTCACTGTGGACATTTGGTCTGACAGAAAGATGAGGGGATTCCTTGGTGTTACTGCACACTATTTAGAGAAGGATGAAGAGAGGATAGAGCTGAAATCCAATCTCCTGGCCTGCGACCGCTTCAAAGGCACACACACACACACACACACACACACACACACACACACACACACACACACACACACACACACACACACACACACACACACACACACACACACACACACACACACACACACACACACACACACACACACACACACACACACACACACACACACACACACACACACACACACACACACACACACACACACACACACACACACACACACAGCAGAGGTACTCATTAAACTGAGCGCCCTCAAACCTAACAAGGCCACTGGCCACGACAATATCCCCTCCAAATTCCTCAGAGACACAGCAACCGCCATCTCACCAGTCATAGCTCACATAATTAACCTCTCCATAAAACAGGGAAAAGTACCCAAAGACTTCAAAATTGCAAGAGTAACCCCCCTGCACAAAAAGGGCAGCAAATTGGACCCAGGCAACTACCGCCCTGTTTCTATACTTACCTCCATCTCGAAAGTCATGGAAAAAATAGTATATGAACAGGTCGAAAAGTACCTCGCAGAAAAGAAACTAATCTATGAATTTCAATCTGGCTTTAGAACATCCCACTCCACTGACACATGCCTTCTTTATTTGAACGACCACATCAAACAAGAGGTGGACGAGGGTAAATACTGCGGCATGGTGATGCTGGACCTACAAAAGGCTTTCGACACTGTCAATCACCCCATTCTGATTGACAAGCTAAAAGCAATTGGTTTTGATAAACTATCGGTGAGCTGGATGCAATCCTACCTGGAGGGGAGAGAACAGATGGTGGAGGTAAACGGTACTCTGTCCCCCCCCCTCCCAGTGAGCTGTGGTGTTCCACAAGGAAGCATATTAGGTCCGTTACTGTTCCTAATTTATGCAAATGACATGTCATCAGCATGTGACTGCAACTTGTTCCTGTTCGCGGACGACTCAGCCCTGCTGGTCTCTGACAGGAGCAGATTGCAGGTTGAAAAAACCCTCAGCTCCGAGCTCGGCAGAATCTGCACCTGGCTCGCCGATAATAAATTATCATTACACCTGGGTAAAACAGAGTCCATTCTCTTCGGTTCGAAACATAATCTCAGCAAATCCGACGACTTCTCAGTTGCAGTGGGTGACATTATTGTCACAAGTAAGAAGGAAATTACATACCTAGGATCTATTCTTGAGGCAAACCTCTCCTGTGACAAAATGGCA